CCCTCGAGGTGCTGATCATGGGGATCGAGTGACATCCAGTATGTTTTTATATACCGACACGTACCCTCGGTCTGATATGGTACATCGGTCGCTAGGCTCTCCCTCTCAGCTCCGAGATGTTCCTCTTTCTCGGTACCGAGATGTACCCCCCTCGTCTAGGATGTCGTTCTCTGCTCCAGCAGAGACTATTGATGCACTGGTCACTAGCCTAGGCTAGGCTAGGTTAGCTATCATGACCTCGTCTTACACAATTGGTGTCAGAAGGCAGGGGCCACAGCCAATGAGGAATGGACGCGTGGCATATTGTGTCACTTCAGAGACAGAAAGACCGCATGACCTTGCTGACACGCGACTTGGGAAAACAAGTATTTAATTACACCATTCTTTTGATGAGATTGCATTCAATGCGGTAAGGCTCGGAAGTGAAAAACAATAAATGTCTCTAAGGCTGGGCATTTATTGCATCCTCCCCGAGAGGAGCTCATTGAACCGTCGGCAGGCCGATGACACAGTCTTAATTGCTCGGGGTCCCGAGCAATTAAAAGAGAAGACATTCCTCATAGGAATCAGTGCGCACGTTGCCTATATCTAATGATCACCTACTGACCACACTGACAACAATCATAAATATTTGAGGTATAAATACTCCTCACTAAAGGCAAGAAAAGGCAGGTGAAACCTTTGTTACAAATTATACTCAGTGTTTTCTTCTTCTTCTCTCTCAAAAACTGACTTGATCGTCGGAGGGGATACGCCGGAGAACACTCCGGCGCCCTTCTAACTTGTTCTTCTTTGTTCTAGGAACCTTTCTTCAGCCTTACTGGATCGTTCCTTTGATCCGCGAGGGTCTCCCATTACTGTTCCAGGTTACCACCGGATCTCACAGGCTGTTCCAAGCAGCGTGGTTGACCACTCAATTGACTCACTCGAGTTCACCAAGGGGAAGATCTGTTCTCGTTTTTATATTGTGCAAGATCCAGCACGCACAGTAATATAGATATTTATATAATATTTTTTATATTTAATGAAATATATCACTTTAACAGAATTATTTGAATGTTTAATTAGATTTTCAAAGGATGTAGGTGTAATATTTCAAAAGTGAGAATGAGGGGGTCTAGATACAATTTATTTATTTAGTTTTAAATGAGAAACTGATGGTCGTTAGCTTGAGGTGCGCATTGATACAAATTTATATTTTTTGAGGGTAAAAATTAAAATTTTTGATTTTTAAGGGTGCAAATTGAGATTCGAACAATTTTTCGAGATGCAATTTAAGATTAACCCAAAAAAATTGAAAGATTTTTAATATATTATGAATAAATATATTAGATATGTAATAAGAAACATAAAAATCAATTTGTATATGAATAAGTTTGAGTTATAATATTTTATCCCAATAAAAAGGAGTGTGTATTATATAATTAGTTATCAGATGAACTGTTTTTAATAATATATTAATGTAGATTCTTGGTATGTGGATGTAAATATGGTGTACTAAGGTGGATATGCGATATCAAATCAAATTATATTTTTGTGTCATATTTTTATTATTTTTTTATATTTAAATTTTTATTTTTCAAGGACTATTATTTGTGTTAAGTAATCATTATGCAAAACCAACAGTGTTGGAGTTGTTTCCCAGATACCGTCCAACAATTTTTATACACAAGAAGATAATCAAAAGTGAAGTGTCGGTTCACAGTTTACGTTGTGGTAATGGGTATAAAGACACATGACCATTTCGGTGCTTTCGATGTGTTATTAGTTGGTAGATCTACTATTTGAAATGCGAATCTTTCGACTGCCCTGCCCTTTCTCATGTTTTCGTGTTCTAATTAAACAAATCCCACGATTTACGAGGCAAACCTCCTCACTACCTTACTAACTTAATCTCGGTCACCATCCCCCTCCCGGATTCACTTTGGGCTATTTGAACTTCATAAATATTTATACTCCCCCCCAAAAAAAAATTTACCGGTCAAAAAAAAAATAAATTCTTCATTTATACTAATTAAGCAAAGATTATCATGCACAACATTGATCATTTGTTATTCAAAATTAGAAAAATTTTGGTGGATGCATATTTATCCTTTGTAGTCATTATCGATCATTTGTAATTTTGTCGATTGATTTAAAAAATTAAAAAAAAATTATTTGATTACTCCCATTAAACTAAAGGTTAAGACACCCACCATGTTGTATTGTCAACCTCCCAATTGAGTTGTAGGAGGCAGATTGATCAGGTAATAGATGAAGATGAGATGATGGTGTTTGTTGATGTCCTTGTCTTTCCAGGCAGGTGCTGGTAGTGATACTGGTGTGGTTGCCGTCGTTAACAGTGCATGTGCTTCTCCAACTCAGTGGTTGGGTTGGGTGGGGCCAGTCGGGGGGAGGGACCACAGAACAAGCTATTCCTTGTGTTGTAGTGAGTGATGTTTTGTTTCGTATTCATTCAGGTCAGGCGTGATACTGATCGATCGATCCATGATACATACCTTAATGCTGAAATGAATGATGGTCCCGCCCCCGCGCGAGGGAGGTCGGTCTTCTTTTACTTAACTAGTGTTTTGCTATGCTCACTAATTCTCAGTTTATAATACTATTAGTGTGGTGAGCACAAATCGCCTATCATATTACACCATGAAAGCTAAGAAGCTACATGCAGGCATGCATACGTTTCCGGCTAATACAACTCATTTTTATGACTAGTTTCGTGTTTCCAGATCCATGAGTATTTGATACGATCAAGTGGGAGGGAAAAATGTGTACAATACAGACTAGGGTAAAACCTAATCTTAATCTGTTCATGTTCTTTTGGTGAGTGATGATCAAAATCTGGACACAAAGCACAAAAAAAGTACAAAAGTAAATTAATGTTTGGATTTTGAACTCGTATAATTCAAGTATGATTTTCTTCAATGGATTGAGTCTTCATTAACTTGCCGTTTAGTGGTTTTTTGATGACAAGAGTAGTCATAATAAAGTACAACCTTGTTAAGGAGAATTATAATCCTAAAATACTAGACATGGGGAAAAATTCACTCAGTTTTGTGATATAATTAACTTAACATATATATATATATATATATTTTGAACCGAAAAAAAGGGAGGGATATGGGGTTCATCGCTCTAGAATATTCAGTTTGAATCATAATTACTAATTTAAAAGGATAATTCATTATTACAGTACCACTAAAGTCACAGAACAAATCGTGTTATTCTTATGAATTGAAACTTGTTTAATAAATGCATTAGAGTTGGAAACAACTTTAAATAGATACGATTTACTGTTAGAATAGGAGTTTAGATAGTAGTGATAAAATATTTGACTGAAGGAGAAATGTGAATTGAGAATTACTTTGACGGTGGGGAAAAATAGTCCAAACTAGTAGGGATATCGGATAGTGATATTTTGAGACAATTGGGCTAAAGCACTGGGGGGAAGGGAAGACATGATGATGATGATTAACCCATGCATTATGCATCCCGAGGGGTGGGTGGGTTCCACTATTGGCTGTTGATCACCAAATGTGTAATTAAAGGGCGGGGTGGCCACTGCCCAACCAATTCTCTACTGTCACCCACTCCCACCAGCAAAAGGACAAGCATTTTCTTTCCCTCATGTTGTGTATGTTCTCCTTCCGATTCATAAACCTCGCACTTTTTTCCCGAAAAGCCAAGGAAGAGTACAAAAAGCACCATAGGTATTATTATCATCATCATCATTATTATTATCTTTTTGATAGTATTTTGTTGGTGATATTATTATTGTGAGAGGGTTTCAAATTTTCAATTTGTTAAAGCAATCATCTAACCGGGTTAGACTTTTAGTAATGGGGGGTCCAAACTCAACATAACCCCTCAGTGGGGAATCTCATCAAACTCAAAACTTGGAAATAATAAATTTCGGGTCTTTTTCAAAAGACGAAAATTGGTTCCATTATGTTGAGGTCAACTTTAAATTAGTTTATTGGGTCAATCTATCTTACACCCACAATAGTTCTTATAGCTTCACATGTACAATCACTACTCCTTTGACAAGTAGATGCTCTATCTTTCTTTCATTCCATCAAAAAATCATGTCATTGCATACAATATAATACAACACAAACCATTCATTCAGATTTTTGCACTTAATAATACCGCCCCCCTTGACTAATTAATTGCCCTTATTTTTTAAGCATATGAGTTTACTTGTTGACTCATCCAGTACACTTCTCAAAAACGCATTTGTCATTGAATTGAACTCCCAAGTATAAAGTAGATGGGTACAACTCCCTCACTTATAAGTCTGTCTATTCGTTTCCCCTGTCTATTCATTTCATTTTCATTGGGTTTGAAGCCAAACTTCCAGTGATTCAAAATTAAACTACTCTATATTTAGACTTAAAATATTAACTTTAAAATATACTTTAAAATTATATTATTCATTAAATAAGTAATAGACCTCAATAAATATAAAAGATCTTACAGTAAAATTAATTGATTATAATTATTAAATACACATTTTAAATTTAATTTTTTAACTTCATATAACATTCTTCTCTGTCAAATACCAATTTTATACAATCCTTGTGCTGGTAAACATTAGAAAATAATATATGCTTTAATTCAATGCCGTACTTTGTTCTTTTTTGGTCTGAATAATTGCTATTATACAACCACTAGAAAGTCTAACAACAAACACTCTATATCAATCATCATCCCCAAAGTTTCATTCTTTATACATCTAATTTAATCAACAAAAATCAAAATAATATATAGAATGAACACTAAAAAAAAAAAAAACACCAATCCTCCTTGCGTCCCACTTCTTTCCTCATTCCTCCATCTTCCCACTAGGAAATCTCCAGCTATCATCGAATAGAGAGAGTATCCTAAAGCAAAAACAAATGAAAGAAGAATTTGTTTGTGTACATTTCAGTCTTCTTGTGGAGGGGAGGGAGAAAGGGGAGGAAAACGAGAGGGAGAGGGAGAGGGAGGGCTTATTATTATTATTAGTCCAAAGCATTTGGACCGGCACAAGCCTTCAACACAGGGCTCCATATCCACTGTACCAAAAACTTCCTTCCCCTCCTTCCATTCACATTGTAAGTCCTGCCTTCTCTGTCCCTCATCACCTGTCCAATGTACCCTCCCCCACCCCCACTACCGTACAATCCCTCACACAGATCCCCTATCTCCGCCGGTGCCGTCGGGTCCTCACCCGCATACCACGCGTTTACAAGTGGATTTGACGCCAGCTCAGCGAGCTCATGACCGATCACGCTAATCATTCCATCAACACCCACGTCCGCATTCGGCGGTGACAGAGCTCCGGGGCCGCCGCCGCCCATGTAGCCCGGTACGGCAAACGGGTAGGCACATACTTCGGGGCACTGTTTGCCCGAATTTCCGACCCATGCGTAGGGGAGAGTGTACCCTACCTTAGATGGGAAGGTGAAGTAGTGGAACCCACACACCGCTCGGCAGAAATCCTGTACGGTCACGTCCACGGAGGTTAATACGAGATAGATCCCGTTTTTGTGATCAACGGAAAAGGGTTTGGATCGGACGGCTGTGGCAATGACCTCTTGAATGGAGAGGCGGGTGAGGTGAGTGCCATGGGAATAAAGGCGATCGGAGTACTCGCTGGCGATGAGAACGGAGCGGGAGATGTTTGCGCCAGTCTGGTCCGTGTAAAGAGAGACGGTGCTCCACCACTCGGCGACGGAGGGGGAAGGGGCGGCGCGGTGGTTGACGGTGGAGATGGAGAGGAGGAAATCCTTGATGAGGAGTTGTTGGGATGGGGACCACTTGCCGTACCATATGAGGTATATGTTGATCGGCGAGGAGAGGACTGGACCCATGTGGTAGCGAAGGTTTACGAGGTCTGATGAGCCCTCAAATTTCTTGGAGGAGGAGAGACTTTTGGGTGGGAGCTTGGGATTGAAGTATTGTGGTTTAATGTCAAGGGTTTGAACTGTTGGGGAAGCAGAACCATAATGCCCGAAGAAGAAGAGGAACGACAGTAGGAGAATTAGGGACATTATTTTGAGTGTAGTAGGAGGAGGAGGAGATAAACAGGTAGGTGGTGGTAATGGTGGTGATGAAAGAGTGAAATGTGGGGGCTTATAAATAGGAAGAAAGAGAGAGTACTTGGGAGAGAAATGGGCTGGTGACAGCTGCCAATTTGTGGGCACTCTTTTTTCTCTCTCTCTCTGTCTGCGTTCTGTTTCTTTCTGGAAAACAGGGAATTGCCTTTAGCGCAGATGTAATATGAGTTGTATAGGCTTTCTTTTTTGAAAATATTGACCGTTTGTTGTTTTAGTTGTTACCGGTTTCTACTACTTATTTACTACAACTTGGTACTAACTTTTTTTCCTGTTTGGTAAATAGTACTAACTAACTTACTTGGAACAGAAAAATTAGTAAGATTGAAAAAATATTCTGCTTATAGGGCACAAGATGCTATTTATCTCTCTCTCTCTCACACACACACATTAATTTTTTCAATAAAAATTTTGATAAATTCACTGGCTACAATATTTTATGGGTGATCCACATAACATGGTGTCTAGTGAGCGTTAAAAATATTCTCTTAAATTTTATTGAATCTAAATTTAGGGTTGTTAGGTGAACGAGCCCGAGTCGAGCTTGAAAAACTTGTTTCTCAATCGAGTTTTAAAAATTATTCAAGTTAAACGAGTCGAGCCTAAATAAGCCGAACTCGAGTTGAACCCGAGTATTTGTACATAAAAGAGTCGAACTTGTCGAGTTTATTTTCTAAACAAGCTTAAAAATTTGTTCAAGATTGAGCTCGTTTAGAAAACGAACTGAACCTAAACGAGTCAAATCTGAGCTGAATTTAAGCCAAACTTGAGTAGCTCAGTTTGATTAACAGCCTTATCTAAATCTAATTAGTTTGATATGGATTTTAATCTTAATCGAATATCAAATTCAAATTTTAATTTTAATCTCTATATAAATATATGTGATTATTTTATTAAATTAAACTTAAATTTAGGTGTAATTTATTTACATTATTTCTAATTATATATTATTTAGATCAGACCAAATATTCAAATTGGATGTTTGCAGTAACTAATAGATTATTACAAGATTGATTATAAAAAAAAAAAAAATCAACACAAATTGGATTAAAATATATAAGGCTTTCGAAACTCGATGTTATGTTATAATAAAATGACAACAATCAATCAATCAATCTATCTATCTATCTATCTATCTAAGTAAAAAACTGGACTAGAATAGGATCCTAATAGTTGAACAAGAAGATTCCATTTTCATTTCCATTTCTTTCCATTTGACATGCATTCACATGCCTCGGAGGAGTCGCAGAATGTTATAGTTATAACTGTGGAAAATCGATGGGGTGATTGATTCCATTAATTACTTGTCAATAGTTTCTATTAGTATTCAGTTTTAGGAACTACTACTATAATAACTAATATGAACAGCACTGATAATGTATTTTTTTTTTTTTTATCATTATAAGACCCAAATGGAGTATTTCATTAGTTGATTAAATAATATAATATTCATACCCATTCTTTTTCTTGTTTAAAAATATTATCTTCTCTAAAAACCTCCTCATTGTTAGATTACTCTTAACTAACACACTATATCCAATATCAACTAATCCGATTAACCTATGTCTTCTTTTTTCTTCTCAAAGTACCTATCTATCTATCTCTTCTTTATCCACTTACATATATATTATTTTCTCTCCATTCATTTTAATATTTTAAATTACATAATCAAATAAAAAAATTATTTATTATTTCAAATCTAAATGTTACAAAATCAATATTTCATGTTTGATATTATAGACTGTCTTTAGATATGAAGTTATTGTTAGTATACCTAATATTTTTGCTAGTAACTTGAATTTTTAATTTATAAAAATACAATAATCTTCACATTTCTCTAATTTTTGATCTAATTATATAAAATTTATTTTAATTTTTTTTTCTTAGCTTAAAGACTTCATTTTCTCTACATGACCTTTAATATCAGACAATTCAACTAATACACTTCTGAATGTCAAACAATCTCATTAATTCATACTTACCTCTCTCTTCTCTTGCCCTTACTTCTCTATTTCTTCTTATTTACAATATAAATGTTACACAATCAATATTTGATTTTTTTGGTATTATAAAATGCCTTCAACCACGGACCATTACTAATAATATATAATGACGTATGGAAACAGATCTATATTGGGGAATTAGCATATATCCTGTGGAATTCATTATGCTTGGGGGAATCAGTGGATGTTTGTTTGTGTACAGTTCATTGCAATTAAATCAACTAGAAAAACAAATATATTTTCTTTACTAGCAATACCACGCGTGCATAGTTTTTGTTAAAATATTTGATAAAATACATAAAAATTTAATTATATATATCGATTTTTTGACACCAGAGATAAATATTGTATCAATAAAGGTGTCAATGTGCATTAATATCGGGGTGAAAAAAAAAAGAATAATATTTTTATATATCCTGTTAAGAATAACATGACCATCTAAAAGTTTTGTAAAGATAGAGATTTACATGATATGAGTATAGAAGAATATAATGATAATCTGCATATTTAAATATTTTTAAAATGAAATGTTAGTCTTTATAAAGACAAAATAGTAAATCAAAAGTTTTCCATGATAAAATATTTTTATTAATAGTATAGGGTATAAATAGATATAGATTTATATTGATCAAGTCAAAGCATTTTCAAGGCCCACTGTGATCAAAAGATTTAAACGTATGGTCCGCCGCCTATAGCCAATAATGTACCACCATTGAATCAAAATATCTATAAACCATTCAACTAATACCAAATCCCATTGAGAAAAAAAAGGCACAAGACACAATAATACTCACTAAATTCTTTTATTTCCAACAAAACACTCGTATTAAACCCAATTATGAATATAATCACCAATTGGGAGGGGGATTAGGAATGATGCACTATTGCCACAGAGAGGCAGAGGGTGGCAACTGGCAAGGCAACACTGTTATGCGCGATGACAGTTATCTTGATTTGATTGGATGTGTAGGAATGGTAGGCAATTTAAACTGTCTGATTAAATTCTTCAGCATGGTTGGCAGAAAGAAAAGAATGGTCATGATCCCTCGTGACAACAACTGAAGCTGAAAGGTCTCATTTAACACTGCCCTTTATAAAGTTCATGGAGGTAGGTGGGTGGGTTCAAGTTGAATTAGATTCAAATATCTTTAGCAAGGTATGTATAGTCTATGAGACAATGGTACACTATTTTTATAAATGTCTACATTCCCCCGTTAGACATGTTAGCATACTCCACATGGACTCAAAAACCCCAAGTCAGGAAATGCAAAATTTCGACCCCCCCCCCCCCCCCCCCTTATGACTCATAACATAATAGTACTGCTCATCTCTCGCATTTCTTTACTACGGTTTTTATTTATCACGTCTCTATTTCCAGTAATGAAATAGCACTAATGGGAAATGTTTGTATACATCTAATACCCATTAATTCTCTGACTTGGGCTTCCAATCTGCAAACTTGATGAGATCATCTTGCCTAAATTATCTCACTAGTTACTACTACTATGCTAAACTTTTGTTCCGTTTGATAGGTGTTGTGATCATGCAGTAATTATGGTGAGTTGTAAGGAATCAAACAATTAAGAAAACAGGAGAAAATAACACACAGAAATTTACGTGGTTCGGTAATGTGCCTACATCCACGAGAGCGAGCGGCCGTTCTTTTTCATTATTCAAAATAGGATTACATCTTAAATATTTATATAACCCTAATACGGACGTATTTACAAAAATATCCCTATACCGTACCGCGGGGGCGTTGCCCCCGCACCCCCAACTAATCAGCGTCCCCTTTATATAAATTCCGCAAAGTAAATGTCGTCGCGGGCTCCACTCCGGCATCTGCCTCTTTGTCATTATGCACACAGCAAATAAAGAGCCATATATACTCTAACAGTAGGAAAAATAAAAAATAAAAGAGATACATTTTTTATCCTTCAAGTATAGAAAAAGTAGGAATGATGCACTTTCCTTCATTTGTATTTGGTTGGATGGATGAAAAATAAAAATGATCAATTTTTTTTTTTGTTTAATATTAGGGGTAACAATCGAGTCGTGTTGTATCAAATTTGCGTTGAGTCATAAAATTATGAGTCTTTTATATTTCTTGTTCGCATGTTAGGTCATTCTCAAGTTTAAGTCGAGTTATAATCAAGTTCGTGTCGAGTTCGAGTCGTGTCATTGTGTTGAGTCGAAAATTTTTACTCCTAATTAAGATGAAAAAAATATATTTTTTTAATTTAAAATTTTTTATTTTAATTTTTTTTAATATATATATATATATATATATATATATATATATATATATATATATATATATATATATATATATATATTATCATTGTATTTTTATATGAAATTAATGTATACATAAGTATATAGACAAATAAGATACATCTCAACACAAATAATTAACTTTTCATTCACTTTACTTCTGATTTTGGGGGAATTGATTTTAGCGAGTTGGAAGAAAAGTTAATTTATCTACTTTATTACCCTTTCTATTTTTCTTCCTTACCAAACATAATGTTTTATTTATCCCTCCAATTTTTCATCCTTCCTACTTTTCATCCTTCCATTTTTTTATCATACTAAACGGAGCATTAGGCTTGTAAGGTGCCGCATTTATGATCCATATCTTAAAAGAATTGGGGTTAAAATGAAAATGTATAGTCTTACGGTGATTAAAATGTATATAATATAGGATAATCCTGTCCTGGGATGCGATTGTAATTTTTATTATTATAAAATAAATGTAAGCTGGGCCGTCGTTGGGTGATTGATGTTTGTGGGATTTTAGGGTTTTAGAGTTAGATAATGTTAATTGCATGGAGAGCAAAGGTGTGCGGGTGCTGGTGTTGTGTTGTCAACGACAACGCGGAGAGCTGGTGGAGGCCAACACGGGGAATTCATGAATACACTGTGGTGTTAAAGCCGTTGCCGACAATGAGGTACGGAAGGATTGATGCGTTGACTTGGAGTCAGTAACAGTCCGACTGACTGAATTTACGATTGTTGCATTGCAAGATCAAAGTCTTGAGATCGATTGGGTTATTTCCGGCGCTTCTGCCAATCTTTCAGTCCGAGTTGGTTGGGCTGGGCTGGGCTGGGCTGAGAAGAGAGAGCAATGCGTCGTCTTACATATGATTGGGCCAAGAGTTAAACAGGTTCCACTTCATTATACAAGTGAGTCCCACTCCCACCCACTTCTTTCTTCTCTCGGTCTGATTTTCCTGCTTCTACATGATTAAAAAATTACATCCGAAGATCATGACCTAACATCCAAACATTATAAGCATGAAACTTAGGAGGATTGAAAGTTCCTTCTACAGTCTACAAAGCATTCTTGATTCCTTCGGTATCGTTAAGCTAGCTTATTAAACATTATACTTGTAACTGACTTTACATGGAGACTTGATGCCCACAATTTTTTGTAATTCTTTATTAGAAGATTTTGATTTCATACTGTTTTCTTTGAATTGATTGAATATCAGGATTGGAAGTTCATTGGTCAGATGATACAAGGTTGTAAGGTTGTTATATTTGGCTGTGTTGTTCTGAATTACTTGAGGATATAATACTTGGAGGAATACAAGGACAGTGTGTGAAACTTTGTTCTTGACAGATCAGAATATTATGATTTTTAAGCTTTTTGAATATCGTTGTTCAAAACATAAGTCACACACAGTGTTTTTAAATTCAGTCATAATGTGCCAGATAAGCTGTTAATGGAGCTACCGTGTGTAACCACTAATAAGTTAATCAGGAGACGATCAAATACCAAGAGTAAGAGTGGCAGCTGGTTTAACACTGCCTTGCCCAGACGTTGTCGGCTCTAACTCATTATCCGTTAATCTCATATGTAAATTAGCAGAAAACTTGGTTTTGGGGCAAGATTTGTGTCAAAATCCAAGGCATAAAAATAACTGGGAACAGTAGATATTTCTGAGAATATCACTGATCTCTCTTGCTCCTCACCTTGCTAGTTTTATTTTCTCTCTCTCTCTTGGATATATTTTTGTTTCAATATGATTGTGATTCTCTCCGTTATGTTTGGAGACTGAACCACAGATGAGTAAAATCCACAAGCCTTTCAGGTTTGAGGCTTATTGGATTGATGAACAACAGTGTGGTGAAGTTATTAGGGACAGCTGGAGTGTGGATGTGAATGGCTCAACAATGTATAGGCTCAAGCAGAGATTGAGAAATTGCACTACAGAGTTGAAGAGATGGAGTCTGACCCATTTCAAGAATAATAGGAAACAGATTGAGAATTTGAAGGATAGATTGGTGGAGATCCAGAATGGGCATGTTCACAATACAGCACAAAATGAGGCCAAGGAGATAAAAGCTGAGGTGGACAAGATATGGAAAAGAGAGGAAATGTATTGGTGCCAGCGATCTAGACTGAATTGGCTCAAGTATGGGGACAGAAACACGAAATTTTTTCACACTACTACTAGTCAGAGGAGACAGAGGAACAAAATCATCATGCTTAAGGATAGAGAAGGAGGATGGGTTACTGACATGGAGTAGGTCAAACGGATGATTCAGAACCATTTCTTGGAGCTGTACACGTCAGAGGGGGAAAGAGATTACTCTCAAACACTGCAAGGGATGCCTCAGATGGTAACTACTGAGATGAACAACTGCCTGCTAAGGCCTCTTACCCAAGAGGAGGTCAAAGCAGCTACATTCAGTTTGGGGGCATTGAAAGCACCTGGACCTGATGTACTGTCAGGTATTTTCTATCAGAAGTACTGGCATATATTAGGAAATGATGTTTACGATGCAGTTCTGTCTTTTTTTCAGTCGGGGTTTATGTTAAGAGAGCTTAATGAAACTAATGTAATACTAAACCCAAAAGTGCTAAATCCTGAGGAGGTTGGGGAGTTTAGACCTATTAGCTATTCCAACTTTGTATATAAGATAATTTCTAAGGTGCTAGCATCCAGGCTCAAACCTTTTATGGACCAATTAATTTCTCAAAATCAGAGTGCATTTGTGGGGGGAAGGCAGATACAAAATAATGTCATAATAGCTCAAGAGGTAATGCATTCTATGAGGCAAAGAAGAAGAACAAAGAGATATCAAATGGCTTTAAAACTGGATATTGCTAAAGCTTATGATAGAGTGGAGTGGGGACTTTTTAAGTTCTTTGATGAATCAAATGGGGTTTGACCCTAAGTGGGTTAAGTTAGTTATGCAGTGTGTTTCTATAGTTAGGTACAATATTTATGGTGAATGGGGAAAAAGTAGCTCAAATGGAGCCATCTAGGGGAATTAGGCAAGGGAACCCTTTATCCTCTTACTTGTTCATTCTGATAACTGAAAGTTTGACCATGCTAATGAATAAGGTAGTGGAAGATGGGCTTTTGCAGGGAATTAAGTTGAGTAGATCAGCTCCATGTGTCTCCCACTTACTCTTTGCCGATGATTCCATATTCTTCTCTATGGCAAGTAAGTCACAATGTCAAGTGTTGATGAATGTGTTACATAAGTATTGCTATGCTGCTGGACAAAGGATTAATTTAAACAAGTCAGGAGTTATTTTTAGTAGGAATACTCCATGGCAAATGCAACTTGAGTTGGCTGAGTATTTGAGGAGGATGCCATTGCTGCACTCATCTGGAAAATACCTAGGGTTGCCAACTGAATGGGGGAGATCAAAGAAGCAAACTCTTGGATGGATAAAAGACAGAATTTTAAGCAAGATAGCTAGATGGAAAGAGAAAATGTTGAACCATGCTGGGAGAGAGATTCTTATTAAAGCATTGGTACAAGCAAATCTGAACTATGCAATGTCAATCTTTAAATTTCCAAAGTCCTTCTATCAAGATATCACAGCTAGAATTAGGAGTTTTTGGTGGAGTAAGTCTACAGGGGAAAAAGGGATCCACCGGACAAAGTGGGATCAAATAACGAAAAGAAAGCAGGATGGAGGACTGGGGTTTAGGGACCTTGAACAATCCAATGTTGCAATGTTAGCGAAGCAAGCATGGAGGCTCATGAATAATCCAGAGGCGCTGTGGAGTCTTAAAGGCAGAGTATTTTCCTAACCAATCTTTTTGGATAGTGTCCTCCAAGCAATCAAGCTCATGGATTTGGAATAGTTTGCTGGCTGGGAAGGAGTTGATTAGAGAAGGACATATATGGCAGATAGGGGATGACAGTCAAGTTAAGTGTTGGGAAGATGTGTGGGTTCCTGGGCACAAAGTTATTCCCAACATTCAACAAAGCCACATACAATTAGTCCAAGAACTTATCAATCCAACAGCTAGAAGATGGAAGGTTGAGGAGGTGCAGATCAATTTTTCACCAGATATTACCCAAGAGATACTGGCTATCCCTCTTAGTGAAACACCCCAGATTGATGAAATCAAATAGAAGTTTACAAGCAATGGAGTATATTCTTTTAAAAGTGGGCATCATATGCATGCACAAAGAGCTCAAGCACCTCAGGCCAGAGTCACTGCCTCCTCATCTTATAAAGCTCCAGAAGAGATATGGAGGAGTATTTGGAAGAGTAAGGTGCACCCCAAAATACAAGCATTTTTATGGAAAGTTGCAAAGGGAGCATTGGCAACTAAATGGGATCTATGGAGGAGAAAGTTGTCAAACTCACCAACTTGCCCCATATGTGGAGAGGAAGAAGAGACCACTGAACACTAGTTATTACTTTGTTCATGGGTGCAAAGGATGTGGAGGAATTGCCCTCTAAGCATTAAGATAGACAGGTATGGCATAAGTAGATTTGAAACTTGGTTTAGTAGGTAGCTACAAACTAGCAAGGTGTGTGGCGAAGGAGAATAGGAAAGACAAACTCTACTAATGTACCTATGTTGGTTCACATGGAATTTCAAGAATGATTGGGCTTTCAACCATAAACAGCCATGCAATAAATCTGTTATTACAAATGCTGTAACAGCGGTGGAAGAATTGAACAATTGCAATAGTGTATCTATAAAGGGTGGGAACTTATTTGGTGAACCTGAAATGGCTTGGCAATTGTCTCTGCAGGGGGTTTTGGAGATTAATCGCGATGGTGCTTGGATGGAAAGGACAAAGGAGGGAGCTTATGGTATCATAGTTCGAGATTGTGAAGGCAGAGTGCTCATGGCTGAGGCCAAAACTGTGGTAGTAGCTTCTGTCTTAATGACAGAGCTTATGCAGTCATGCGAGAGTGCAAGACTGTTGTGGAACAGAGCTGTGGTGCAGTCATTGTTGAATCAGACTCAAAGCAGCTTATAAATTCTATCAATGAGAACAATGGGAATACTTTGAAAGGGATTGCAGCTTTACTAAAGGACATATGGAGCTATGCTCAATTACTCTCAGTGGTGACGTTTCAGGCAACATGAAGGACCAGAACAAGGCTGTCCATATGCTTGCAGTCTATACTAGAAGTGAGAAACTTAATATACTAGGGAACGATTGCCTCCCTCAATCTGTGATGCATATTGTTAGGATGGAAGCTAGAAGAGGAGTAGGATGAGTGAATCAAATTGTAAAGAATGCTATGTTTCTTATTTATAGAATCTTATATTTCATGACCCAAAAAAAAAAAAAAATGATAGTGATTAAGTTATCCTCGTTGTAATAGTAATTCGCGTAAATGTTATTGTAACCAGATATTCATTTGGACTTTCAGACCTCTTACAAACATAAAACAAAAGCAAACTCTGAGAGGTACTTCGGAGTCTTGCTCCAACTACTTGTTCGTAAGTGAGGGGAGGTGAGGTACTTCTTTTGACTGAAATACTTGTTAAAATAATCCAGTGTTGCTGCTGCATATAAAAAACGTGAAGTGGATGATTTTTACCTGGTATTAAATCCCTCAAACATGACAGTAGTTTAAGCTATGCTTTTTCTACATTTTTTATTTTGGTGAACAATGAATAACTATAGATTTTACAATAGAGCATGTGCTGCTACAGGTGTCAATCAAGTCATTTTGATATGCATAAATCATAAACAACAGTTCCAAGACAAAAATTCCTTATAGGTCTTAGCTAAACTTACCATTTATAGGTCTTTGAAAAAAAAAAAATTAATTAGGCTAAAGGTCCCTTATTTGGTGTGTAAATTAATTTTAGTCATATCATATTTTTAATATATAAAAAGGTTTTCCGTGTTTTTAAAAAAATTGCACGCGATCCTTATATAAGCGCGAACGTATAGGTGTTGGGTAGTTAGTGTATTTTCATTTATCTATTTTGCTCTCATCACATGATTTCAGCCAAAAATACGGTTAGTTTTTTTTTTTTTTTTTTTTTGCATTTGTTATTTAGGATTTTGTAATATTGTCTATCAATTTTGAATTTCAAATTGTGAACCATGTAATTTAGAATATACCAGTCGTTTATCTTAAGTGTTGATTTAGTAAGTACACATATTAGATCGCATTAGTTATATTTTATATATTCGTTGATAAATTTAAGTACATGTTCGTTATGATCTACGTAATTTTAAATTGTGTTTGGTTTTCATGGCATCTTGGAAATAATAACTCAACCTCAATCGATGAGTTGTTATTTGGATCAGTGAGTTCAACCGGGTTTGAGGTTGACTTGTGAACAATGGAAGACACATAGTGTAAGTGGTTCACCTTAACCGAAAGATTGAGGCGACGCCCATTGTAATGGAGTCTCTTGCTCCTTAAGGTCGTATATTGAGATCAGATGAGTATGTTCAGATTGTTGGCACTGAGCCTTTGCAAGGGCTTATACTTAGTTCGTTGTGTATCTAAGGCTGAGAAATACAGTGGGGAGTCCCCTTCTAGTAGGTTGACATTATTTTATTTATACCGGTCCTTCCTCTTAGGATTCTCGGTGGCTCCCTCTACCTTTCTGTTGATTCTATGGGGTTTCTCGTCACTATCCTGCAACAATCGCTACCATTCGGCATTGCTATGACCACGATCTCTGGATCGTTATGCGCACCACCACTCTTTGTGTCTGAGAGGGTACAGTTGCCACAGGCGTCAGAGATGGTCTCCTTGTCCTTTGGACATGTGGCATGACGGGGTGCTCCAAGGGCGAGAACTTGGTTTCTCAGTACTAGGTTATCCTTTGGCTAGTCGTTAAGTTAGGCCTAGGTTGCGTTGCTGGTCCTCTGGTGCTATTGGGCTCTCTCCTTTCGGCTTTCTCTACTCTTCGGTGCGGGCTGATCGGGGGTTCTCCCTTTGGGTTAATAAACAAGCGAGGGTCTTTTGGGCTTATTGGGCTCCGAGGTTGTGACAACCCATGCTTAAAATTTCACCCTTATCAGGTTTTATGTAGTTGTGTACTTGTAATGACATATTTGTACCTCTTTTTAATTAAATATTGATGTACATATTTTGTGAATGTATATGTTTGTATATGCAGCTTTTTGTTGAATTTTTCGTCATTTTCTTCCATTTGTCTCGTTGTTTGTTGGACATGTACAATTGGAATTATAGATAGTCGACATCTTTTTGCATGCGATCTTATTTGGTGTGTGCTTCCTTGAGAAAACTTATAAGCATTTGTATGTTACTTTGTGTTCTTTGCTCTTTTGAATGATCCATTATTTTATGTGTTTTTGTTATAATTTTTTGATACATTATTTATAGAGGTATTTCCATGGGATAGATGAAGAAGTTTAAATGTATGTTCATTATAGTGTTAATTGTGTAGTTAATCGAAGAGACCGTCTCAATGTATCTGTTCCAAAAATATATTGAATTTAACTGGTATTAGTAAATATATTTTGATGTACCTACGAACTATCAATTAATGGATACGCTAATTGAGAATATGTCATTTTTTTTAGTGTACTTGTTTAATGATATGTTTTTATGAAGAAGAAAGTACATTCTGATGACGTAACTTTTTAGAATAGTTGTTTCAATTGTCTGATGACATTGTTGTTATTTTTACAATTTTAAAGGTCGTTAATTATATTCATTACTTTTACTTCTGAATAGGGATTTAATCCAAAAGTAAATTAACGAGTGGGTTTTTTTTTTGGAATTCTATTAGGCCTATGTGTTGTACTGTACCGACCTGCATAGTTTATATGATAGGAAAATTAAGAAAAGAATTCTTAAAACTCAGTTAAGGTTTTACTTATACCTAACTGAGAATCAAAAATGATATCAACAATTTTGTTATTTTTCAAAATAAACGATACACACACAGGACCACTACAACACCACCACTTAGAAAGCGATAGTGTTATAGGGCCTTATACACATACACACAATTCAAGGTTATCCAAATAGTCCCAATCTTTACTCCTCATTCATGTGACTGGGCCCACACAAGACTTGTGAGACTAACGCACGCACGCAAGTTCCCGAAATTTGTATTTTTTGAAAGAAACGACACACACCGGACCACTGCATCACCGCCAGTTAAGAAGCGGTAGTGTCTTCTTGTTGAAACAAGTATCAATTACTTTAATTTGTGGGGCCACTTTTGCACTCCAGAGCTGACTCAGTTAGTCACTGTGGCCGTCTGAATGTGAACCTCACAGCTGGTGGGTATCCGATTTTGAGTAATTTCGATCTAAATGATTTTCTTATAGAATATAGTATTGCCAAACTTACAGGCGGATCACACCAACCACACACAATGATAATGATGAATTTGGGACCTGCTGATAATATTCATGGACCCACATTGAATTTTTTGTCAAAACATTCTTAATTTTTTTTGAGATTTATGCCCGTTTGGAGATGAGTTGTGCACATTTGTCTCAAATTCTTATTCACCCACCCACAAAGAGATATAGTATGGGTCCCCCCTCCATCCCACCCCACCTCACCCGTGTCCATTTTAGAGCAAGAGTGACGCCTGAAGGAGTAGGCAGCTAGCTATCTGTCTGCAGAATCACTTTCCAATCCATCCTACCCTATCATCGGATTCAAAGCATATTCTTTTCTTTCTTCTCACAGTCACCACCAACGTCGCATCGCCCACAATGGACATTCACTCACCATATTTTTAGTCCCCCCTCACCATCCTCATACAATACTTTCTTCGTTTCCATTATCTTCCGGCACTACTACTATTGTCATGTTCTACTTGATTACCATTACCATATATAAGAAGGCCAAAAGGATAAAAGGGCAGGGGAAAAAAAATTAAAAAAAAAAAAGATGCATTCATTCACTTCTTATAGCCCCATCACTGCCCTGCCCTTCCCTGTCATAATTAATTATTATCTATTCTATTCTGCTTCTTCAGGAGTCTGGGTCCGCAGAAGATTTTAGCCAATGCCAGAGTTTACAAAAAATCGTGGGTAAACTCTCCGTAGCTTTCAGAAAGACTAGTGGAAGCCCAACTATCCAAGCGTGCTCTTTCTCAATCTCCCAAGTATTCTCATAATTGAAAAATGGCAAAGTGTCGTCCATAGCTGAGGCGAAGTGGCTTATTCTCCTTTCATGTGAAGCGTATTCCTTCCACCGGTGATGGGTAGGGTAATGGGAATTTCCACTTTTTGGTTTCTTTTCTTTATTGTAATTTCGTTTTCAGTTTCTGAAGCAATTCTTCTGCACTAATAATAATAATCTATCCCCTCCCCTCCGCTCTTCTCTTATAAAAATGGGGTCTTCCGTACCTTGCTGCTCTACCTTTGATTCCTTTAGCATTTCTTTCTTTTGAGGTAACCTCTAACCCTCCATCGCCCATGAAATCCTAATATAACCCGAGATTTCACTATTTCTTGCTGAAAACTAGGAATCGCTTTTTTAGTTGCTCTTATCTTCGTTTGGTAAGTATTTTGCCTAAAATTTTCTTTTTCATATTATGAGTTGGGTGGCCTGGTAGTGTTTTCATTGGATTCGATGATTCTCTAGTTTCTTTCTTATAGGCTTCTTACCTAAAATCTGTATTTGGGTTTGAGTTCTCTATTCATTTTTCTTCCAATCAATATGCAGGGGTTTTGCGTCTCATTTGAGAAGGAAGGCATTTAGTTTCATCAATTGATGTCATCATGAATTTGGTTTGGCTTGTGTCTCTGTCCGTTCTCTTTGTTGGAGCATTCTCAGAAGCAATTTCAAAACCTGGCGTGGTGAACATTGGAGCTATTTTCACGGTTGGAACTATTAATGGCAGAGTTGCAAAGATTGCCATGGAAGCTGCTGTAGATGATGTCAATTCTGATCCCAATGTTCTCGGCGGCCGGAAACTGGTTCTCTCTTTGCACGACTCAAACTTTAGTGGATTTCTCGGCATTGTTGGGGGTAACTTTTTTTTCTTATATTTCTTACTAGTTTTCATTCTCATGTAGTACTACTGTTCAGCTGCTCTTTCATTGTATCCCTAAGGAGTGCTGTCATATCATCAGCTAAATGTTCACTTTCTGGTTAAGATAATGATTATCCTCACAATTTTGAATTCCTCTGGCGCAGCATTACAGTACATGGAGACTGATACTGTAGCTATTATTGGTCCCCAACATTCTGGCATGGCTCATGTACTCTCGCATCTCGCAAATGAACTCCATGTCCCATTTTTGTCATTCACGGCATTGGACCCCACTCTCTCACCTCTGCAATACCCTTACTTTGTTCAAACAGCGCCCAATGATTTGTTCCAGATGACTGCCATTGCAGAGATGGTCAGTTATTATGGTTATATGGAGGTGACTGCAGTTTTCTCAGATGATGATCAGAGTCGAAATGGCATAACCACACTAGGAGATAAACTTGCAGAGAGACGCTGTAAAATTTCTTTCAAATCCGCAGTCCCGCCTGACCCATTGGCCACTCGGGAACAGGTTATGGATGAATTAGTTAAGGTTAGAATGATGGAATCTCGAGTAATTGTGCTACACACTTACTCCAAAACAGGTCTTTTGGTTTTTGATGTGGCCCAGGAACTTGGGATGATGGAAAGTGGATATGTCTGGATTACTTCCACTTGGCTATCTAATGTTTTAGATTCTACTCCAGTTTCTCCAAATACTTCAAGCTCTATCCAAGGAGTTTTGACTCTTCGCCCCCATACACCCAATTCGGAGATGAAAAGAGTTTTCACATCGCGCTGGAACAAGTTGAGTAATGGCTCTATTGGATTGAATCCTTATGGTCTATATGCTTATGATACTGTATGGATGATTGCTAATGCAATCAAACTGTTTTTCGATCGTGGTGGTACCATCTCATTCTCCAATAATTCTAATTTAAATGGTCTTGGTGGAGGTGCTTTGAACCTTAGTGCATTGAGCACTTTTGATGGTGGGAAGCAGTTGCTTAGCAACATACTGGCGACCAATATGACAGGACTAACTGGCCCTAGTGGATTTAATCCAGACAGATCAGTGATACATCCTTCTTATGATATCATCAATGTGATTGGAACTGGGTTTCGGGAGATAGGATACTGGTCTAACTATTCTGGGCTATCTGTTGTGCCCCCAGAGACTCTCTATGGCAAACCACCCAACCGTTCAAGTTCAAACCAGCAATTATTTAGTGTGTTATGGCCTGGAGGAACAGAAATTCAGCCTCGTGGGTGGGTGTTCCCGAACAATGGAAGGCAGTTAAGAATTGGAGTTCCAAAAAGAGTTAGTTATCAAGAGTTTGTTTCACAAGTCGAAGGTACTGATATGGTCCAAGGATATTGCATAGATGTGTTTCTTGCTGCAATAAAGTTGCTTCCTTATGCAGTTCCTTATAAGTTCATTCTTTTTGGAGATGGTCACAAGAATCCCAACTACGCTGAGCTTGTGAATATGATCACATCCAATGTGAGTAAATGAACTGAACTGTTGTAAATACCTATCGTATGCAAACATGTTTGTCTGTTGATACTCTGATTCTTTCTTGTAGGTGTTTGATGCTGCCGTTGGTGACATTGCTATTGTTACGAACCGTACAAAGATTGTGGATTTTACTCAGCCTTATGCTGAGTCAGGGCTAGTCATTGTAGCCCCAGTCAAGAAGTTAAGGTCGAATGCTTGGGCTTTCTTGCGCCCATTCACTCCACTAATGTGGGGAGTCACGGCAGCTTTTTTCCTGACAGTGGGAGTAGTGGTGTGGATTCTGGAACATAGAATAAATGATGAGTTTCGAGGGCCTCCTAAGAAACAAATTATCACAATTTTGTGGTGAGTTGTTTATTTATGTTTGATTATTATTATATTGATCTCACAATTGTTATCCAAATATTATAGTATATTTGCACCTCTGCCATGTTTAAGAGCGATCTGTTCTGCCTTTATTTTCTTTTGTTTCAGGTTTAGCTTCTCAACTATGTTTTTTGCCCACAGTAAGTTTCCACCCTGCCCCTGTAATCTCTCAATGAATTCAGCAGAGTAAGGCCAATTGTATTGACTCTTAGGTGATTCAAATTTTCAGGAGAAAACACAGTCAGCACGCTCGGTCGTTTGGTTCTAATTATCTGGCTCTTTGTGGTTTTGATAATTAATTCAAGCTATACTGCAAGCCTGACATCAATCCTTACGGTGCAACAACTCTCCTCACCTGTCAAAGGAATTGATTCGTTGATAACAAGCAATGAGCCTATTGGATACCAAATAGGTTCATTTGCTGAAAACTACTTGATTGAAGAACTCAATGTTGCTAAATCCAGGCTTATTGCTCTTGGCTCACCAGAAGCATACCGTACTGCCCTGGAGAAAGGGACTGTTGCAGCTGTGGTTGATGAGCGTCCATATGTTGAAATCTTCCTTTCAGACTACTGCAGGTTCCAGATTGTTGGCCAAGAGTTCACAAAGAGTGGGTGGGGATTTGTGAGTATCTATACACTGAGAAATTAATTACAAGTCTTCCTGTCTGCATTAGGTACTTAATAAAAGTTAAAAGTGTACAGTGATAGTAAAGAAGAGTCCTCAAATGTCTACAGATTATTGACAACTAAAGTACTGGGGCAAATAAATGAGAGAAGCTTAAGACTGTTGAAAATAACATCAAAGGAGAAGTGTAATCATTGAAATTTGAGATCCTAGACCAAGCTAGCTTCAAGCAGTTTTAACAGTTGAGAGCCTTGTAGTTTGTTTGAGATCCAGTGTCTTCATTCTTGGCATGATGACATTACTTTGGAGAGCATTTAGTAGACACCAATAAATCCGTTTCAGTCATTGCCTGAAGTTTCTCTCAAACATAACCCTAGTCCACTATAAGCATTAATTTTTTTGGTTTTGTAGGTGATGATGTACAATCTTCTCTCTCTCTCTCTCTCTTTCTTTTTCGGTGCAAGGATAAATTATTCTTTTCTTGACAGGCATTTCCAAGAGACTCCCCATTAGCAATTGACATGTCAACTGCCATTCTAACATTGTCAGAGAACGGTGATCTTCAGAAGATTCATGACAAGTGGCTGAACAAAAGAGGTTGTGGTTCACAAAGTTCTCAGAATCAATCGGACCAACTCCAGTTACAGAGTTTTTGGGGGTTATTCCTCATCTGTGGAATTGCTTGCCTCCTTGCTCTCATTATTTATCTGTGCTTAATGTTACGTCAGTTCAGCCAACATTACACTGACTCATCGGAACCTTCTAGGCATGGCAGTTCACGTTCCGCACGCCTCCAAAAATTCTTATCATTTGCGGATGAGAGGGAAGAGATATGGAAAAGTGAGTCCAAGAGAAAACGCATGGAAATGCTATCAAGAGCTAATGAAAGAGAACTTGAATCAATGGATGGATCCAAGAGAGTTGCAGACATTTGCCATGAGAAGTATAATGTGGATACCTAGCTTCATTAAACATGTAGTCAGTTGTAGTTATATCTCACATATTTGACAGTCACTCTTAACTAGAAAAGGGCTATGTGCCAAAGGAAAATGCCAAAAGGAAAGGAAAGAAAATGAGATATAGTCTATAGGGGAATTATCATTATCTATAATATAAAACAGAGCATGTTTTAATAATTCTATCCAATAGTTTTAAATAAATTTATTCGACGGCTATCAATAATTTTTTTTAAAATTATTCATATTGTGTTAGTGCTTTCAGGCATAGGATATTCCTATATATATATATATATATGTTTTGGAATTTGTTTTGGAACAAACACATGAAACGAAGAATGTAGAAGTGGAAGCGTTTTTGGGTTGGGGAAAGAATGAGTTATGGGCCTACAGTGAGACCATTATAATCCTCTGTACACGCATGCACGTTCAATATTCTCCCTCTTTTTTTGTTACTTGCAATCCCTCGTGCAAGTTTGAAGCGTTAGCACAAGTAAAATAGAGATATAGAGTGATTTAGTTAGGGTGGTCTACTTTACTTTAAATGCGACAAGGGTAGCCGAAGGACTTTATTGATAAAGTAGTTGCGGGAGAGAAAGCACAGACAACTCTAAGTGTGGTAAGGTAGCTATGAGAGAGATAATTGGGTGTGGAATGTAGAGATGTGTAAAAGGTGTGTCTCTCATGTGTAGAAGGTTTATAGTTTATAAGCATAGAGCCTTAGTTAAGGTAGTGATTTAAGAGTTCAGGTACTAATTTATCAGGGAGGATAGCTACAGTTTGGGATGAACACTATCTTGAAGTAATTGTTATCTTGATAATTATTTTCCTACATGTTTTGACTCTTGTTGGACTCTTGAGCTGAGGCCATGAGTTAAGTCTGGTCTACCTTTTGATGGTTTGGGCTCAACCTATGAACTGGGCCGAAGTCTGGTTTAAATTTAGGCTCATCATTTGTCCCCCATGCCCTAAGTCCTAGTAGTGATAGGGGATTGAGGCCTGAATGAGCTTTTTCATTTGAATAGACTAGATATCTTGTTTCATACGGTAGCTTTTTCAGCTTTCCACTCCATTGCATTTTTGAAGTTTATTTTCTCGTCTGGTAGCCCACAAGTAATAGAGAGGATGAAGAGAGGCATGGACGCTTCAGTGCATGGAGATTGAGATGCTTTCACAAGTGGCTCCTTAAAAAGGCAGAGAAGCTTGCGTGATGCCATGGATATAAACCTAGGCGACACCAAGGAAGGCATGAGGCCGGGCGGTGCTATGGACGACACCATGGAGGACCCAGGCAAACTAATGATGTCTTCAGTTTCTGAAAATTCTCTCTTTCACAAGTGATCACGTGATTGATAGATCAATGGTGAAGTCTCTCTATGTCACTAGGATGGTGACTTCCCTTCTTCCTAAGAGGGTGAGGCCTGATGTCTCCAATGCTTTCCAGTTAAGGTCTAATACCCCTAGTGCTTTGTAGCCGAGTTCTGATGGCTCTACTATTTTCAGAAGGCGGGGTTTGATGGCATCCCCGCTTGTTCTTAACATGTGACCCTTTTGAGTCCTAGGGTTAGTCATAGGACTATTTTAGAGATTAAGTCTCCTGTGCAGACTTCCAGTGAGACCAGAGCTCCCTGTCATTGTCCTGCTTCCAATAGTGGTTTGATGCTCATTATGTAGGACGTGAATTTGGCCGAAGAGCATCTTTGGAGGTTCATGACAACCTCAGATATTAGAGAGGTCGGCTTTCAGGGTCCTGAGAGTAACATCGATACCACGATTGAGGGTTTTGCTATGATACTCCTTTGTTATGTGGAACCTTATCTTCTGTATGTTTTGATCATACTGAGATTTTTGCTTTCGGATATTCGCAGATGACTGCGATTTTTTCATGCTTTTAAGGATGCTCAATCTTGATAAGGTTTTGAGAGCTTTGACAAAACAGAGACTTGGGCATCATGATGCTGAGGAGCAGTTAAGGTTGGCTCATGAGAGAGCAACAACTATTGAGGCCGAGCTTCTAGAGAACCAGGTTGTTTGCGTGTAAGTAAAGGCAAAGTTAGGCCAAGTCTATGGCGACTTATGAGAGAGACGTTAAGCTGGAGAGGGAGTTGCCTGTGAGAGAGTAAAGATAGAGTTAAACCAAGCTTGACAACTCGTGAGAGAGTCACTAAGTTGGAGATTGAGACTGTCTATGTGAAAGTACAGATAGAGTAAGGATGAGCTTTTGGCAATTCTTATGAGAACTGCTAAGTTGAAGATATAGACTGTTTGAGAGCAGATGCTGGATTAGGTTGAGCTTATTGGTGACTTGTGAGAGAGCTATTAAGATGGAGACATAGGCTACCTGCATGAGAGTAAAGGCAAGAAGAGACCGAGCTTTTGGAAGCTCTCGTGAGAGCTGCTAAGTTGGAGACATAGACTGTCTATGTGAGAACAGAGGCCGTAAGAGGTCGAACTTTTGGCAACTCTCATGATATCCGATTGACTTAATTTTTTGTGAGGTTAGAAAGAAGACTTCAATGGCTACAAAAGTGTATTTCATGAAAATTTCGTGAATCGATCTCTAAATATGCGAAATTCAAGCTCAAAGTTTAGATAGATTTTATAACCGCGCCCCCAAAATTTTATGCAGAGAATTTAATCTTAAAAAACTTTTTTTGGAAAAGAATTTTTTTCAATCCAACCTTATATCTTCTACTTATACTTAGGATTTATTTTAATATAAATAAATGCTCTCATCATTTGAGAGATGATTATTATTTTCTTCTCATCTTTTCTTTTCTAGTTTTTGTTCTAATTCTATGATTTGCTAAAAATCTAACTAAAGATAGGGGAGATACTTTCAATGAAGCACGATATTTATTATTGATTCAATATTCTTTTTAATGCATGATTTATTCTTTTAATTTGATTCTTGTATTTTAGTAAAGTTTTTGTTATATATAATTTCTTGATTTGTTGTGTCACGTACATTGAATACTTGAAATTTCCTACAAATCAAATAACTGGTTATTCCGTACTTAAATTAATTAATTAAAATTTCTCATAAGATAATTGATTTATTATTTGCAATAAAATTAAGGTTTACATGTTGGAAAGCTTGATTTATCATAGACTGTGGATACGGTGAATGCTTGTGATCTACAAGTAAATTTTATATTTATTTAGATAATTCATTAATTATAACTTTTGATATTTTCATATTATCACTGCTAAATATTTCGATTGGGATCACTCCTCAGTTGATTCTCAATTGAGTTCGAAAACTGGATCGTTAATAATTACTGTATGAATTTGAAAGGATATCCTCGATACTTTAGTATTTCAATTATTGTTTTAACCAACCCACATTTCTTATGTTGGATAAATTCTTACTCAAAATAATTTTAAAACAATTTTCTTTTATTTGTTTTGTGTCTCTTGTTTTTACAATTTTTTGTGGTTCGACCTCAGACTCTCAAGAATTTATTACTTAACACAACCTACACTTGGGTGATTAATTCTAAAGTTGTAACAACCGCTAACTTGGAGACATAGGTTGCCTTCATGAGAGCAGAGGCAGGACGAGACTGAGCTTTTGGTAGCTCTCGTTAAAGCCGTTATTAAGTTGGAGACATAGGCTGCTTGAGAGCAGAGGCAAAGTGAGACCGAGCTTTTGGTAACTCTCATGAAAGCCGCTAAGCTAGAGACATAGACTGTCTACGTGAGAACAGAGACTAAATGGGACAAGATTTGGGTGACATGTGAGGCTCTCTCTCCCAAGAGACAGAGAGGATAGTGAATTGGTGATGTTGGGCGTCTAGTGTAGGAGACGAGATCACTTGGGGTGAGAGAAGGCACCAAAGACATTGTTGGATGAAAAGGGCATGTAATGCGGGCAGTGTGCCCAGTTAGGCAAGGATGTAGGCGCAGGCGGGTGAGAAGGTTAGCACCAAGGCAAGGATGCGCGAGGGTCTCTAGGCACATGTGCCACTGGGCACATGCGCGGGGCAAGGGCGCTGCAGGGCAAGGCCAGGTATTAGAGGGGATGACAGTGAGGCATTCGGCAGCACAATGGAAGATAGCGAAACCAAGGGAGGCCGTGGCATGGAAGAAGGCTACACTAAAAAAGGCACCCAGGGCAGTGCCCGTGCTAATCGCGTGATGCTAAGCGACGTGAATGGCACAGGTAGGAGCAAAGTGGCTGGCAATGCCCATCGCTACAAGTAAGGGCAACGCCGAAGTGGCGGGCAGTGCCCATGGCGCAGGTAGTGGAGGCCCCGAAATTAATTTATTACCCACCTGTCGAGTAATTAATATGAGTAATAAATGCAGTAAATATAAATATGAGATCTACACAAGCTACACAGATATAGAATAGTTTGATTAGGATGACCTATTCTATTTGAAAGGCGACAACAATGGCCAAAAGACTTTTTGATATAGTAGTTGAGGGGAGAGAGAACATGAACAAGCTCTAGGTGTGGTAAGGTAGTTATGAGAGGGATAATTGTGTGTGGGATATATAGATGTTAAAAGGTGTGTCTCTCATATGCAGAGGACTTACAATTTATGGGCATAGAGCTCTAATAAAAAATATGTAAGTAAAAAACTTGATTTGATATAGATTTCACCATTAGAAAAATTTAAATTTAAAAGAGAATAAAATATAATTATTGAATCTTTAAAGGATTGTAAAATTTCACCATTAAAGATTTGAGTTTAAAAAAATTCCTTTGATTTAGGTCTAAAAAAAAATTCCTTCTTTCGATATAGACATAGATGTAACATTAGAGAAATGTTTTAGACTATTTTTATCTAAATTTAAATTTTATTATTAAAAAAAATAAAAAACTGGAGATGCTCAGTAGCTAAACTCATTATATCTATACAACTGAACTTTTCGGGCCTTGCTTTCGTTCCTTTTTTTTATTCTCTCTAGAAAGTATCTCTGATGAAATCCCAGCAGCCTCTTCTTTGAAGTAACATTTTCAGGCGACCACCGACCACTGTCCCATTGCCATTGTGATTTCTTATTATCTTCTCCTTACACTGCTTATCAACACCTTCATCCACCGCCTTTCACCCATATCCACCGTCTACCATGACTGAGAACCACTACTCAGAAGCACCTTCCACTACTCTCGCGAGCGCGCGCGCGCGCGCACACACACACACTCACTCACACTTTCTCCTCCTTTCGATGGCCGCCACATGCTACCAGTCTCCTTTCAAGATCATCCCTTATTCACACCCTTCTTCACCAAAATACAACCACCTTTCTTTCTCTACCGTCAGATGCAACCTCTCACCCCCTTCTTTTCAAACCCTAGCCACCGAACCTGAACCGGTTTTCACCTCCGTCAAGGCCTTCGCTCCGGCCACCGTCGCCAACCTCGGCCCAGGCTTCGATTTCCTGGGATGTGCCGTCGATGGCATCGGCGATTTCATCTCTCTCCGAGTCGAATCCCAAGTCCACCCCGGCGAGATCTCCATCTCTGAAATCACAGGCGCCGACAATTCTACCACTAAACTCAGCAAAAACCCTCTCTGGGATTGCGCTGGCATCTCGCCATTTCCACCATGAAGATGCTCAACATTCGATCGGTCAGTCTCTCCTTTTCCCTGACTCGGATCCAGTGCTGCTAGTGCCGCTGCTGTGGCAGTGAATGAGAGTTTCGGGGGGGGAACTATATGTATCCGATCGTGTGATTTCCGGGCTCGAATCGGAATCGAAAGTTTTAGGGTACCATGCCGATAACGTGGCACCGGCAATCATGAGAGGTTTTGTATTGATTCGAATCTATGATCCTTTGGAATTGATGCAATTGAAGTTTCCAGAGGAAAAAGATTTGTTTTTCGTATTGGTGAATCCCAAGTTCGAAGCTCCGACGATGAAAATGAGGGCGGCGTTGCCAGTAGAGATAACTATGTCGCACCACGTGTGAAACTGTAGTCAGGTAGGGGCATTGGTGGCATCTGTGTTACTAGGTGACTTGAAGGGTTTAGGCAAGGTATTATCGTCCAATAAGATAGTGGAGCCAAGGAGAGCGGCATTGATTCCAGGAATGGAAGGCGTGAAGAAGGCGGCGATGGAGGCCAGTGCGTTAGGGTGTACGATCAGTGGTGCTGGGCCAACAGCCGTGGCTATAACTGATGATGAGGAGAAAGGGAAGGTGATTGGGGAGAGAATAGTGGAAGCGTTTATGGAAGGGGGGAATTTGAAGGCTTGGACGATGGTTAAGAGACTGGACCGGGTTGGTGCTAGGCTTGTGAGTAGTATTTCCAGATGATGACTCTCCTGAGTAGGTTTGACTCCTTGGGGATTTCATGCATCGAGATTTTGTTCCTTCTACTTTCCTCTTAGGCTTATTTTTCCCTATGAATCCCCCATCATGAAAAAGCAAAAACATAAGACTTGATACGAGGGGTTGGTGTTTTATTTGTTTACACATTGTGGTTGCAACTTTGGTGCTTTATATATATACTAGTTATTGTCTGTACTTGAAGGCACAGAGTAATAAAAAAAATAATCAATAATAAATATATTTGTATTCACATTTAAAATTAAATCACAAATATAGAGGATAGAGAAAGGAATTTAAGCACCGCTTATAATGGGAGTAAGCGGTGATAAGGGTGATGGTGAGGCGATAGGGGTAGTGGTGGTAGGGGTGATGGTTAGACAATGGCGGTGGTGGGTGGGGTAGTGGGGATGGTGGTGGTCGAGCGATAGGTTGTGGTGGTGGTGGTGGTGGTGGTGGTGGTGGTGGTGGTGGGGTGGCGGTTATAGTAATGGCGATAGTGGTATAGTAGTGGCGGTTGTAGTAATGGCGATAGTGGTATAGTAGGGGGGTAATGGTGGTTTTTGTGGTAGAGGTGGTGGTGGGGTAACACCGGCGGTGGTAGGACAGTGGCGATGGTGGGGTGGCTACGATGGTGATGGTAAGGGATGTTGTTGGTAAGGGACAGGGAGGTGATGGTGGTGGTGGTGGGTGGGGTGGTGACATTGGTGGTGGTGGTGGTAGTGGTAGGATAGTGGCGGTGGTAGTGGTGGGGTGGCTACGGTGATGATTGTAGGGGATGGTATGGTGACGATAATGATGGTGGTGATGGTATGGGGTAGGGTGTGGTGGTAGTGGTGATGGTGGTGACATTGGTCGTGTTGGTGGTAGTAAGGAGTAGAGGGTGGTGGTAGTGGTGATGGTGGTGGATGGGGTGGTGACATTGGTGGTGGGTAGGGTGGTGACATTGGTGGTGGTAGTGGTGATGTTGGTGGGGGGTAGTTTGGTGGTGGGGTGGTGGTGGTAGTGGTAATGGTTTTGGTAGTAGAGGGTGGTGGTGATAGTGGCGATGGTGGTGGGGTGATGGAGGTGATGGTGGTAGTGGTGGTGGTTCCAAATATTATTTTTTTTTAAGTATTTATGAGAAATTATAAGTATTAAAAACATTTTCAAAAAGTCACTTTAAACACACTCTTAAAGGTATATTTTTTCTATTAAGTTTAGAGTGTTAATATTAGCCGTCAGATTAATTTTAAAGTAAAATTGAAAGAGATTTTAATCGCGAATAACAAAAATTATTTTGTTTATCTTTTATATTTTAATTGTATTATGTTTTATTATATTTTATATATATATGGCAAGAATCAACACCATTTATTGTTTTGGAGCCTGAAGGCTGTAGTTTGAATTAGAGTTTCATGTAGTATGCTCGCTCCTAAACCTATGCCTAGTTGCCTACTTTGTATTACTAAGCATTAATCAAATTCCTGCTTTCTTGTCGTGGTGTAGTTGTAGTTTGAATCCACCACGCTTCCAACCTGATCTACTCTGCCATAAGCCTATTCAGATTGGCTCTCTAGAATGGAAAATCTCATTATGGAATGGAAGGGCAATTCAGCAGCTTATCTTTTGAGACTGACATAATTCTGAAGCAGTACAGTTGCATGCCATCGGTTTTTTGGCTTTTTAAGATGACCACATTCATGTTTCAACTTTCTGATTTCAGCATGACAAAGAGACCTGAAAATAACAGCTCGGCTCAATAATGTAGACCGCCTACACAATCACATGACTAGCCATTGTTTTTTGTTTCTAGGATAGGGGATTGCATTGCCAAAAATTCTCAACTATGACTTTGTTACCATAATCCTCAACACTATCTTTCCCATCCCATGCATACACAAACCGCACTGCACTGCACTGCACACAAGAAAGCTAGCTTGTTTTTTAAGTTTCTCCATTACCTACACTCAACAACTCCTAAGTCCTAACCAGTTGGTAAAAGCCTTACTCCAGCCCAGATGGTTGCCAGTTGAAACAACTCGAGGTGAACATTAAAACAAAAAAGTGGATTTAGTCAGATTGAACAAATTAATGTACACAATACCTTTTTACTAAAGGTTTTCAACTTGCTGTCACAAACCCCTCAAAACTTAAAAACAACCAGAACAGGAAAATTGAAGCCCCCATCACAGACCTTGATCCCCCACCTATTTGCTTAGTTGTTCTTGGCAGCAGCTGCTGCCTGCTTTGCACCAACAGAAAAGAACTCAGTAATCACTTCAAGGGGCATGCCCTTGGTTTCCGGAACCTTCAAGAAGACAAAAATCCATGATATAACACACACAACAGCATACATGCCAAAGACTCCAGCAAGGCCAACCGATGTGAGCATCACAGGGAGTGTATAAGTAACAACGATATCACTGATCCAAAATGCGAGGGCACAGATGGCAATGCAGAGGCCTCGAACTCGGGTGGGAAATATCTCTGCACAGAGTATGTTGGGAATTGGCCCAAATCCCATGACAAAGCAACAGAAGTAGAGCACAACACAAGCAGTTGAGATAGCTGCGTTCACAACAGTACCCATATTCACAGAACTTCCAACAACAAGAATGATGAGGGTTGCGATCAAGATAGGGATCGTATTGAGTAGCAAACTCCTGCAATGAAGGAAATAGGGAGTAGTTATGAGGACATAAAAAAGAATGAGATAAAGCATTCAATGGAAACTAAACCCTAAAATGATCACATCATATTTTTCTACACATTGTTTTTCAAGGTAATAAGTGTCGAGCACAAACAAGCACTACATCAGCCATTCCAAGCTGAAATGCAGTTCTTCTAGACAGGTTTCCCAAACATAATGAACGTTAAGGACAAAGGACCAGTTCAAACCAAATTGCAAATTAAATGATCAACAAAACAAATATCACCTTTATATTTGTTACAACTTGCTTTATAATTCAATTGGGAACATAGAGAACTAAAGCTATTACTTCATTGAATTACAAAAAACACGAAAATTCTTGTGAATCAAAGAGGTCATTTCGGGGGCAAGTTCCTTGAAAACAACCTGTAATAAGCCACTAAATGTAAATTTGTCTGCTGCCACATTTCTTGGAGTTTAAAGAGAAGGTTTAAGATCACACCAAAATAAAGGATAAAACGGGAGCTAAAGGATGGAACACCGAATCCCAAATCCAAACCAATTCATCTAACTCCCAGCCCCCAGAATATAATACCTCAGCAGTAATATATACGATGGCTATGGATGTAACTGACTAGATTAAACAAATTATTTACAAATGACTTTGTGCATTACTAGTTATGCATGTAAACTCGATAGGGCCTTGCTTTTTAATTTCTTCGCATATTCAAATATATATATGTGTGTGTGTGTGTGTGTTTGTGTGCGTGAATACATAATCGAACATATCCTAATGTTTAATACGTAGATAATAAATGAGCCACCAGAATCCACTTGGTCACTGTCAAACTCATCCCTATAAATAGGTAGAGCTAGGCTGGTTCGGTGGTTCCTGCTTAAAAGCAAGACTTGCAATTTCTAGTCAAAGAGTCATGTTAAAGCAACAAAACTTATATCAAAGGATGCTATGCACCTTTTAGACAAGAAATACAACTTTGCTAAGAGAAAGAAAAGAAGAAAAATAATCAATGAAAAAAGCCAGAGATATCCATGAACCTCAGGGAAGACAATATCGCTTTTTAAAACAAGATCGGTGATTACGCCAGAGATATAAAGAATAACAGCAAAAAAATATTACCTTCTGCCAGAGACATCCATAAGCCTCATGGCAACAGCTATTGAAGGAAGCATCAACAAAGTCGTAATAGCACTAATAAGAAGTGATGCAGAGGCTGAGCCCATGCCCATATTTGATAGAAGCACTCCAACGCCTGCCTGCTCAAGAATTTGGGGAGTGTAGTAGAGAACCCCATTTATTCCAGAAAACTGCACAAACAAAAAAAAAATCCTAAGCAACAAGTTAGAGAAAATATGGAACCACAAAATGAAGATTAAACAACCCATTAGCAAGGTCGGTTTACTGTGTCTTTCCATAATACAACAAAATAATTAATCCCTCATGGATAATTTACTACTCTTAGTAATCTCAAGTTGAATGTCTTTGCAGCATCCTTACAATTGACCACACTCAGAAATCCTCATCCCATCATCTATTTTTTGCTGAATAAGAGTGTGACACCAATGATTTTTACGCAGGAACTATTAACTAAAAATGAACTAAACATGCTTCGTTAATCACTCAAAAGGAATAACTTAAAGAATTTTCTGTCAGAAATTAGCCATATGAGAGGATCGCAACTCTTATTCAGCAAGTAGTAAAACAAAATGAATCAAGCCTCGATCCTTCTGTAACATTCATGAAAGGAGAAAACCACCTAATAACAGGAAACAAGAAAAAGACTGCTTGAATTCATGATATCAATAGAACAAGGGAAAATGCATCAACAAACAACATGCCACAAAGTAGAAACTAGAAACACCATCTGAGGTATTTCCAGGAGAATCCGCATTGATTTTGGAAGAGAGAACAAGCCAAACATTTTTTTCATCTATTATTTGGTACCTGTTGAAGTATTTGAATCCCCACCCCAACAACCAAAGCGTGCTTGACTCCTGGTTCAAAAAGATCCCTCCAACTTGGCCCTTTTGTTGCAGCTTCAGATGGGTGAACCATGGCCGGTCCAACTGGATGGTGATCCATGAGCTCTGTAGAATAAAGTGCTGGTTGACTCACCAAAGCAGCAGCCTGAATGAATTCGCATTCTGCAGGCACATCACCACCAGGAAGAGAAACTAGAGACCCCCTCCGAGATCCAGGGATGCCCCTCTCATGCAAATAGATTCTTTTGAATCCTCCTTCCTTTTTTCCATCTTGACCTTCCCTTTCCGCCCACTTCCACGCCAGCTTCCAACCACCACCAATCCCGGTGCTACCAACTGGTTCTCCAGTCTGCCCTCGTATGAGACTACCATGCCTCATACTCAAACTACTTCCATGGGAAGCAGGTTGGACCAAGTCTTTTTCTAAACTCGTTGTCTGACGTGAGATCAATGGACTTTGTAAATTGTCATCAGATTCACCAGCAACAGCATCAGATGTGTAACCCTCACCCTCCCTTCCAAGGCTCTCTTCATCCCACCCTTCATCTCTAGGTTGATTCCCTGCTACACTGAACATGCTACTAAAGCGTGGAAAAAGCATGCTTCCCGCATCGGGAAGCATTTCGTGGACACTACCAAAAAGGGTGACAAGAGGGTCCATAAGGGGTAAGATCTGATTTGTGACGCTTCCTTGGCGAGATACAAAACCAAGAGTACTCTGTCCAGTGACAGGTCGGGCAACCCAGGAAACTCCTTCGTCAGGACCATACAACTTGATTTGCTCTTTTTCAGAACTTTGTTCCTCATCATCAGTGAATTCATTTGCTGGTCCAATCAGGTACTCCTCTATAGATGTTTCGCCCCCAACTCCAAGACCTTCAACCAGCAAAGCCATCTCACCTTTTCATCAAAGGAAAATCAAAATTACAGTTGTTTGTTCTTGTTAATGAGAAAATCACACATTGCATTGATATTCCTTGTACTACCTTTGTAACAAAAGATGGGGTAGTGAATGTTATTGCAAGAATCCAGCAGACATTAAAGAAAAAAAAGGAAAGCAAGCATGTTATAATCATTGGTTGGTTGTTTTCTTTCAAGGATTCCAAATGTACTGTCTGACCATAAGTTAGGCTTGCCACAGAGATCTCAACCAAATTTTCCAAAGGTATACATTAAGTTTACTTTCCAACACAAGCATATTCTTTTTGTGATATCTGAATAAAAACCCTATACACATGGCTGGCCAAAGAACCAGAAAACTCAGCAGAATATGCATCAGTGCAAGTACATACGAATGCCTACCATATCTGCTTCCTAGACAATGACAGTAATTAGGAAAGAAACTAGATTAGCAGGGAGGAAGAACCACATCTGAGCAGGCTGCAGCACTTCAAATTATCTGATAATCCATATGCCTTATTCTAAAAATGCTCCTAAATATAAATGACATGATTATTTAATATAAGTTTTGGTTCTTCAAAAGATAATAATATGCTTGATCTTACTGTGTCTATACTTCATTTTTGAATAATCAATCAAACTTAGGAAAAAGCTTTTTCAAGTTTCTGCTAATAAAGGAGAAGTTCATTTAACCAAATATAATAGCGCAGTTCCTTAGCCTTTTAAAATGCAGCTATAAATACACAATCTGTACACTATAGTTCTGCATACTAAATGATCAAGGCCAGCTCAATCGAGCACAAAACTCCCTCCCTCTAACTTGATTGAAATTAAATCGAACCATCTTCTTTCAATCTATGAAATCTTGCTCCTCGATAATCTGGAAATTTTTCAATATTGCAAATTAAAACTACAGGTTAGAGTAGGATCACCGTTAGGAAGACCAAGTCTAGATAATTGCATGCCAAACTTGGTGCATTGAAACAATTCTGAATTGCTTAATTTGCAAAACAAGTTAAAGTAATAAACCTATCAAAGACTGTGAAGCAAAACAAAGCCAGAGAATTTTATGCAGCTGTATTCACCAAGAGAAGTAAATAATATTGAATATAAATTGGTAAAGCTCAACGTGCAGAAGTCATGTAATGTTAATTGGTACAATGCAATGTCCATGATGGTTGCTCATGCTCCTTATAATTTGTTTAAATCATGTTGTTTTTAGGCTGCACAGAGGAAATTTGAGTGGTTATGAAAGCACATAAGAACTCACCAGAAACATCTTCCCTGCCGCGTAGTCTCTGCAAAACCTGCTTGGCCTCGAGCATCCTCCCTTTGCTCACAAGCCACCTTGGAGACTCAGGCAAATAAAATATTGTTAATGCAAAATAAATGAGGGAGGGAATAGAAAGAACCCCAAGCATCACCCTCCAACTTGGTGAATTCATCAATGACATACAGAAAACCATGATGTATGACAAGAACATCCCACTAGAGCCAGTGAACTGCGGCAAAGTATTTAGGGAACCCCTTATTTCCGGGGGTGCAGTCTCAGATATATAGACAGGAACAAGGGTAACCGCCAAACCAATTCCAAACCCATCTAGAAGCCTCGCCAAAAGTAGGATGTGTACATTGGGAGACCACAACATTACTAGACCACTGATAAAATAAAAGACGGACGAGGTGATGAGCAAGGGACGGCGGCCAAGCCAATCAGAGATTCCACCGGAGCATGTGGTGATTAAGGTGGCTCCAATGAGTGACATGGCCACAATCAGACCTTCAATAGTAGGTTCACTTTCCAATTTGAATTCCTTCTTTATGTAAAGAACAGCACCTGTTAGCAACAGAAGAATAGACTTCTGATAAGTCCTATCTGATAGGTAATGTAGTGCTGTGCATGATTCAATAATGAACAATCTAAAACAAAGCACATATTTTTGCAAAGGAAATTTATTGAAAGAACCCCCTCTCCCTCGCTCCCTCTCTCCAACCCAAATGCTGCCTCAACTTCAAACTCGCTGTTTAAGATCCCACAGATTTTTCCAGGGAGGGAAAGAAGCCAAAAATTGACACACTTTTTTGCTTACTAAATATAAGGAAGAGAAATTACCAGCAATAGTGGCGTTGTCCCAGCCTTGTAATAAGCTACCGATTGCAGCGGCAACAGCTACAGCCACAGCTCCACTCATTTTTCTCCGTTATGAAAGAAGGAAGACACTTTGATCACTACTTAGATAACCTGTAAATCAATCGAAGTTCAAAACTAGAGAGATTAGATAATCAAACCCGTTTGATACAGTCAGGATCAGGAGTCTCCAGCGAATTCACACACCGCCACAGCTCCTTATAATCGTCGACCCCCACAACTACTAGATATCACGTATTAAGCCAGTAGATGGTGGAACTGATTACTATATTGAATGAGTTTCAAGACAAGATTACATACAATTAATTTATCTTCGATAGCCACCCTTTATATATATGTGTGTGTGTGTGTGACGGCTCAATTACATTAAGGAATAGCAAAATCGCAGTAAGATTCATGTCGATTTATTACCCTTTTTTTGGGGTTTGAGGAGAAGCAGAGGTAGCCAACCAAGGGCTTCAAGGATGGTGAATCATTATAATTCCATTAAACCCACCCTTAAGCAGAAGATATTCCTTCACTCTTTACTCTTTTACTCTGTGTCTGTCCTCGAAAGAAAGAAATGAGAGAATGACGCGGCTATCTCATCATTACATGGGGCCCAAACCAAGGGTTAATGTGCTTCGTGGAAGCGTATGAGAGAACAGAGTGTGCACCCAAAACAGTAAACACCCTTCCTTTTGTAACAAACAGCCGCTATGCCTACGACACCTGCTCTGCTCTGCTCGCTCTTCAGCTTCTTCGTTTCATTGTCACCCATGTCAGAATTAATAAACTGTAAATTCAAACATGTTTGTTCGGACGAGCGGGAGGACTAATTTATGTGTACTTTCCTTGGTCTTGGTCTTGGTCTTTGTCTTCGTCTGACCATTTACAATAAAATTAAAATATTCAAAACAGATCTTTTATAATCTAACTAACATCAAAAAATTGGCAAGATTTGTCTCCATTAGCCTATTCTTTGGCTCAAGAACATGTTGTACCATGAAAACAAGCGGTTCATCATTAATCATTAAAGAATCAATTCAAAAGTCAATTAATTGATACACTAAAAAAAATTAACTTGGCTTTGGTGCATCAAATCAAAGGTGACATCTTGACTAGCACTTTCATAAATGTTGATGATACCTCAAAATAAATCTCAAACGACAGTTCAAAAGGTCAGTTCAGCTTAGGAGGTCAGACTAGACGAACAGAACTCGGAAGAGTAGAGTTGAAAGTCCCTTTGAGATAAGCAAGGGCAATAACAACTAAGGCAACAACTGGAAGATCACGAGAAGTTCCTAAAAGCGTTAGAAAGTAATAATCAAGGCACCTAATCGCAATCAACTAAGATCTTCTCTTATAATCAAGGAGAACCCCACAAAATAAGGGCAAGAATCTCGGCTAACATCTCACTGAATAGGGAACAGCCCTATAAATACTATGTAATACCCCCAAGGAAAGGGAGGAACCCTAGAGGCAAAAACTAGTCATTGTACTCTTGCAATCATCATTATTGAAAGACAAGGAGCAAGAGTCTCCATTAGAAAGTGGATTAACCGAGCTCCCGAGCTGGTGAACCATTATATTCCTACTGTGTTAATTCTCCAATTCCCCGACAATTCTCAGTATTATTCACTCGAGTCTAGTAGCTCAGATCTCAACAATTCCAATATTATTTTCTTTCGTTTACTCGTCATCACAAATTCTCATCACTCTGAAATACACCATCAGTTTGACGTCGTCTGTGGGAACGATTGTTCCTATTACAAATAAAGCTAATTTTCTAGTGACTAATGGTATCAACGCGAAACATGAGCCAAAGTCAGACCAATCCTCTACGGATGCAAGATTAACAGGAAGCCGCAAATAACAGGTAACCCGAAAACGCTCAAGAAGCAGATCCCCCCATGGGGGGCCTTCCCATGAATGATGAGATGGAGGCCCTTCGTCTTGTCAATGAACGTCTGATAAAACAGAACGAAAAGCTCTTAAAGTTCCTACAACGCCCACCGGAGGCACGACCGGCCCAAGGAGGCCAAAATAACCCACCATCAAGAGAGCAACAGCACCTCGACCCCCTCAGAGAAGTTAATGAGGTGGGAGAGAATAGCCAGACCTTCGGGCAAGAACCTTGACTACCCCCTAGGAATGGACACAACGAGGAAGTGCAAAGTCAGTATAAGGAAGGGGAGAGGAACGACTTCTTCCCTTATCAATAGGAGAGAAGAGAACATCACTGGGAGCAACGTTTCAAAGACATCCAGTAAGAGCTCAGCTAGATGAAGGAGGCAGTGAAGAGCAAGGCCCTAGTCACTATGGTTACCTTGGTGCAGCAAACCGAATCTCCATTCACTGCTGGGGTGCTGCACTTCCCTCTCCCACCTAAATTCAGAATGCCGCAGGTGGATACTTTAGATGGGATAAAAGATCTCGTGGACCACCTCAACACCTACAAAAACTAAATGGAGTTGCATGGATATCAAGATCCAGTGAGATGCAGGGCTTTTGCTATCACCCTGAAGGGCTCAGCCTTAGCATGGTTCAACAGACTCCCCCCAGCCTCGATTTTCTCTTTTAAAGAGCTGTCAATCTCGTTTGTGTCCCACTTCATTGGAGCTCGGACCTATAGGAAACCAAGCTACCATTTGTTAAATGTGAAACAGGGACTTGATGAGAACCTACGGTCTTATCTCCAACGGTTCAACTCAGAATCCTTGAAGGTGGATGTCCCAGACAAAAAATTTGTTATTACAGCCTTCATAGCAGGTCTAGGGGTTCAGTCAAAAGACCTGATATTTTCTATCTCAAATAACCCCTAGGCTAGTATGGCGGAGGTGCTCGCCAAAGCAGAAAGTACATAAATGGTGAGGAAGCGCTTCTTTCCAAGGTCGGGAGCTCTTCGTCGAGAAAGAAGAAAGGAAAGGAAGAAAAGAAGAGAGAACGAAGTCTCATAAAGGAAAGAGAACGAGGTAGGTCTCCAAGAAGAGACAGAGAGCGTTCCCCGAAGAGAAGGAGAAATGTCAGGGATCGCCTCGGCCCTCTACAACCAAAGCTAAAACCGAGGTATGCACCTCGGCAGCTCACCCCCCTGACTGCTACAGTGTCTCAGATACTGTATGAGGTACAAAATGAGAAGTTTTTAAGGTGGCCACCCCGGATGAAAGCAGACCCGACAAAAAGGGATCCTACGAAGTATTGTGACTTCCACAAAGACCATGGTCATCACACCGATGACTGTATCCAATTGAAGAGGAAAATAGAATTTTTAATCCGGCAAGGGCAGCTATGACGCTATGTGGCCAATGATAATTAAAATCGAGCTCTCCCACCCCCACCCCCTCAGCGTCAAGCACCAGAGCCACACCAGTAACCTATGGGGGAGATCAGAGTGATATCTGGAGGATTTGCCAGATGAGGAGGATCCAGCTCTGCCAGAAAAGCCCACTTGCGAAAAATCAGAGTCACAGAAGCTCCCGAAGTATATACTGTGTCTAAATCTCCACGCTTAGACACGGTTATCACTTTCTCAAATTGAGATCTGGAGGGCTACCAACATCCCCGCGATGACCCATTGGTGGTAAGAGCTGTGGTGGCCAACAGGACTATCCATCGTGTTTTGATTGACAATGACAGCTCGACAGACATCATTTTTGCTTCTGCTTTCGACAAAATGGATATAGGAAGGGAAAAGTTTGAACCAATAAGTGCCCACCTATTGGGGTTCTCAGGAGAAAGGGTGTTGCCCCTAGGGTCAATTCAATTCATCTTGACCTTAGGTGACCCACCCTGTCAGACTACTACAGCTGTGAAATTTCTAGTGGTTGACGCACCTTCAGCATACAATATGCACCTTGGAAAATCCTCGCTCAATTCTATAAGGGCTATTCCCTCTGCCTATCACCTTGTAGTGAAGTTTCCAACAGAAAATAGAGATGGAGTAGTATGAAGAGACCAGCGTATAGCACGGGAATGCTACATGGCATCCATGAGAAATAAGAAGGTTGAGAGCATCCAATTGGATGAGCTTGACATGAGGGATGAACTCGAGACCAGGCCAACACCATCAGAAGAGCTGGAACCTGTTCAAATCGATTAGGAGCCAGAGCATCTTGTTTATGTTGGATCCAAGCTGAACAAGGAGATCAAGGATCTCCTCATCCAATTCCTAAAAAGGAACAAGGAAGTTTTTGCATGGAAGCAAGAGGACATGAAAGGGATTGATCCCTCTGTCATCACTCACAAGCTCAGCGTGAATCCAACTTGTAAGCCCATTAAGCAAAAGAGGAGGAGCTTCGCCCCGGAGCGTCAGAAAGCTCCTTCACGCAATAGTCATTCGTGAAGTGGATTACCCAGTCTGGCTAGCCAATGTAGTCCTAGTCAAGAAGACAAATGGCAAATGACGTCTTTGCATTGACTTTACAGACCTCAACCGTGCTTGCCCGAAAGATAGTTTTTCTTTACCCCGGATAGATTTGATTGTAGATGCCATTGTGGGACATGAGCTCCTCAGCTTCATGGATGCCTTCTCGGGGTACAATCAGATCGGGAAGGATCCTAGTGACCAAGAGAAAACCTCGTTCATAACCGAGCAAGGGACGTACTACTATCAAGTGATGCCTTTCGGGTGAAAAAATGCAGGAGCCACTTACCAGTGCCTGGTGAATAAGATGTTTCAAAAACAGATTGGGACCTCTATGGAGGTCTATATTGACGACATGTTGGTCAAGTCACTGAAGGCAGAGCTCCATATTGGGCACCTAGCAGAGTCGTTTCAGATCCTGAGAGAATACAAGATGAAGCTCAACCCTGCTAAGTGTGCCTTTGGGGTGTTAGCAGAAAAATTTCTGGGATTCATAGTTAATAGCAGAGGGATAGAGGCTAACCCAGAGAAGGTAAAAGCAGTGTTGGATATGCAGCCTCCCTCCAACACGAGGGAAATACAATGTTTAACCGGGAGAATAGCTGCCCTGAGTCGTTTCGTTTTCAGATCAAGCAACAAGTGTCAGTCCTTCTTTCGAGTCTTAAAGAAAGCTTTTCAAAGGGATGCTCGGTGTGAAGAAGCCTTCAAAGCATTGAAAGAATACTTGAGCTCCCCACCTGTCTTGGTAAGTCCGTTAGAAGGAGAAGTACTTACCCTTTACCTGGCTGTCTCAGAGTTCTCAACCAGCGCAACATTAATAAGGGAGAAGAACAGAGCTCAGCAACCAGTTTACTACTGCAGCCGAGCTCTGAGGAGGGTAGAAGAAAGGTATCCTAAAATGGAAAAACTCATTTTAGCCTTAGTGACAACTGCTAGGAGGCTAAGACCCTACTTCCAAGCTCATACTATCGAAGTCTCAATAGATCAACCAATAAAGCAGATGCTGCACAAGCCAGAATCATCGGGGAGACTGATTAAATGGGCCGTTGAACTTAGCGAGTTTGACATCAGATACAAGCCAAGGACAGCCATTAAGGGGCAGGTATTGACAGATTTCATTGCAGAATTCACAACTGGGATACCTGCAGAGACAGGGCAGTTAATACCTGACCTCCCCATGTGGAAACTTTTAGTAGATGGAGCTGCCAATGCTCAGGGCAGTGGAGCTGGTTTGATTCTAACCTCCCCCGATGAGATAGATGTTGAATACGCACTAAGATTTGGATTCAAAACTTTAAACAACGAAGCCGAGTATGAGGCAATCATAGTAGGGCTCAGCTTAGCTCATTCAATGGAAGCCAAACAACTGGAGATCCGTAGTGACTCATAACTCGTGGTGAAACAGATAGAGGGAGC